ATGCCTCCGAGAGCTGTCATGACAGAAATATATATATATATATATATATATGAGCAATGTCACACGAGTAGCTGTGTGATATGTTGGGCAGGTTACTTTGGAAATGTAATAGGTTACAGATTACAACTTAACCCATTTAAAATGTAATAAGTAGTGTAACTATTTCAATTAATTTATTAAAGTAATTAAAGTATTTATGTTCAAGACTTGTTTCAAATACCATCCACAAATGTGTGCTATGCAAGAAGCTACGGCAAGCACTAGTCATATATTTGAATGTTGAGTCACCTCTTTTGGCATATTTACCCGACCCACCATGTTCTCTCAAATCTAATGAGAGCTATTCAAAGAGTTTGAAGGAAAATGTGTTCTTCAGATCTCCAGATGATGATAAAGCAGCTCTATTTGTCACACAAACAATGTTATCAAAGTCAAGCTTGAATCTGCATAAAGTGGCCTCCAACAGTGCTTTGGTGATGGAAGCTTTTCCATCTAGTGAGAGAGCCAAAGATCTCAAAGACCTAAATTTTGATAAAGACCCCATACCTCTACAACGCAGCCTTGGTATAAGTTGGAACCTCAAGACAGACTGCTTTACATTTAAAGCTTCTCAAGATCTCAAACCTTTCACTCGAAGAGGGATCCTTTCCACCGTCAATAGTTTGTATGATCCTCTCGGGTTTGTCTGTCCAATCACTATGCAAGGCAAAGCTCTAGTGAGAGAACTTTCCACTATACAGCAGGATTGGGACACCGTTCTTCCGTCAGACAAAAGAGATCCATGGGAGGCATGGACTTCATCTCTAGCTGAGCTTCATCGATTGCAAATACCACGATCTTATGTCCCAACCTCACTGGGCGGAGCTCAGCTTCGAGAGCTGTGCATCTTCTCAGACGCTTCTACTTTAGCTATTGCTGCAGTAGCATACCTACGAGTAATAGATTCAAACGGACAGCTTCATGTGGGGTTTGTAATGGGAAAATGCAAGCTGGCCCCTTTTCCAGCACATACTGTTCCACGCCTGGAGTTGTGCGCAGCAGTGCTTGCTGTCGAGTTTATGGAACTCATAAAGGAAGAAATCGAAACAGAGCTCCAAAACATCCACTTCTATACTGACAGTCACATAGTACTCGGTTACATTCACAATGTAACACACAGATTCTACATGTATGTGGCTGTAACAACGTTTGTAGATCGGGAAGAAGGAGGCGGGAACCGGTGAACACTTAAACCAAACTTTAATAATAAAATAAACAAACACAAAATGAAGTCCAGGCCTGGTCCTCTCTCGTCCAACACGGTCGTCACTCGTCACGAGCTCCTCCGTGAGACTCAAGACCGGTGAGTGATGCAGGTGTAGCTCATTATCAATTACTCCACCGGCCTCGCTCCGTTCCCATGGCTCTCGGCCCCGCCCCCACTCGTCACATACCCCCATAGCCCCTCGCAGGCCGGGGGGTACTCCCGAGACTGCGCTCTACTCCCCCCCTCTAGCCACCCCTCCTCGACCCAGGAGCGCTGCAGCGAGTTCTCCGTCCCCCCTCGTCTTCCATAGTTCCAGCACCACCGCCTCGGGCAGCCACCGGCGGTCTCTCCGCTTGTTCCTGCTGCCCGATCTCCTCAGCACCGCGATCCCCCTCAGCAGCGAGGGCTTTCTGACAGCGTGTCCCTCCTTCCTCCCGGGTTTTGGCACCAGTGTGATAAGGTTCAAGATGGTGGAAGGAAGAAGACAGGGTCAGCGTACTGGGACGCGAGCTTTATTGAAAGTCTCTGGGTGTACACAACGGAAAACGGCGCTCACTGCGCTTTCAATCTCTCAGTCAATAACTCATAACATAAACCTATATATGCTTCGTGCTCCAGTAACCCGTCTCCCCGGGTGGCTCGCGTTCCCAGTCGGTCTCTCTCCGAGGTCCAGCGACCTGAAGTGCTGGCGATGCTGCTCGGGGCTCCGGCGCTCAAGCAGATTCGAACGTTTCTCAAGCTGGAGATCCTTGGTGAGCGCTGTGACTACTCTTACTCACATCGCAAAATCATTCTCACAATTTTTTCCTAACAATCTCTGTCGAAAGTGGCATCTGTGTACCAAAACCTCAGATGTGGAGATATCACAAGCTAAGTCGACTATATTCAAAACTGTACAGCGAGAAGTGTACAGAGAGGAATTTGAGAGTCTGACCAAGTTTGGTAAAGTCTCGCAGCATAGCACACTTCTGAGACTTGATTCCTTTGTGGACGAGGAAGGTCTGTTAAGAGTTGGGGGTCGCATTCACTGTGCTGACATCTCGGATCCAGAGAAGCATCCCTTGATAGTCCCTCCCAACCATCACGTGACTGGTCTTTTAATTCAGCATTATCACGATCAAGTGGCTCATCAAGGCCGTCATTTTACTGAGGGTGCTATACGGTGTGCTGGATTGTGGATCGTCAGTGGCAAAAGACTTGTTTCAAATATCATCCACAAATGTGTGCTATGCAAGAAGCTGAGAGGTAGAATGGAGAGTCAGAAGATGTCAGCTTTGCCCTCAGATCGAGTTTCTGTAGATCCACCTTTCACACACACAGGTCTTGAAGACAAGAGGGCATAACGCTGAGAACAAGCGGTGGGCTGTCATATTTAGTTGCTTGAGTACCAGAGCAGTTCACTTGGAGGTTGTGGAGTCCCTATCAGCATCAAGCTTTATTTGTGCTTTGTGTCACTTCTTGGCCGTCAGAGGACCAGTGAAGCACTTTTGTTCTGACAGGGGGACAAATTTTATTGGAGCAGTCAAAGAACTTCAAGTAGCGACTCAGAGTTGAAAGGCTTCTTGCAGAATCAAGGCTGCACTTGGACATTTAATGCTCCACATTCCTCCCATATGGGAGGAGTGTGGGAAAGAATGATCGGGATTGCCAGACGTATTCTGGAGGCTCTCTTGATGAAAACTCCCACAAGACTCACGCATGAGGTCTTAACAACTTTAATGGCAGAAGTCATGGCCATTATGAATTCCCGACCCTTAACCCCAATTTCAACAGATGCAAGCATGCCCTAAGTGCTCTCACCAGCAATGCTCTTAACTCAGAAGGTGAGTGTTGCTCCAGCTCCTCTAGGAAATTTCGAGTTAGATCACCTGCACAAAAATCAATGGCGTCAAGTCCAGATGTTGGCGGAACACACTGGCAACTAACGTTAAAGAGCAGTTACTAGGCTCAAGCAGATTCGAACGTTTCTCAAGCTGGAGATCCTTGGTGAGGGCTGTGACTACTCTTACTCACATCGCAAAATCATTCTCACAATCTTTTCCTAACAATCTCTGTCGAAAGTGGCATCTGTGTACCAAAACCTCAGATGTGGAGATATCACAAGCTAAGTCGACTATATTCAAAACTGTACAGCGAGAAGTGTACAGAGAGGAATTTGAGAGTCTGACCAAGTTTGGTAAAGTCTCGCAGCATAGCACACTTCTGAGACTTGATTCCTTTGTGGACGAGGAAGGTCTGTTAAGAGTTGGGGGTCGCATTCACTGTGCTGACATCTCGGATCCAGAGAAGCATCCCTTGATAGTCCCTCCCAACCATCACGTGACTGGTCTTTTAATTCAGCATTATCACGATCAAGTGGCTCATCAAGGCCGTCATTTTACTGAGGGTGCTATACGGAGTGCTGGATTGTGGATCGTCAGTGGCAAAAGACTTGTTTCAAATATCATCCACAAATGTGTGCTATGCAAGAAGCTGAGAGGTAGAATGGAGAGTCAGAAGATGTCAGCTTTGCCCTCAGATCGAGTTTCTGTAGATCCACCTTTCACACACACAGGTCTTGATGTTTTCGGACCATTCACTGTGGTAACACGCAAGACAAGAGTGCATAACACTGAGAACAAGCGATGGACTGTCATTTTTAGTTGCTTGAGTACCAGAGCAGTTCACTTGGAAGTTGTGGAGTCCTTATCAGCATCAAGCTTTATTTGTGCTTTGCGTCGCTTCTTGGCCGTCAGAGGACCAGTGAAGCACTTTCGTTCTGACAGGGGGACGAATTTTATTGGAGCAGTCAAAGAACTCCAAATCAATAGTAACGACTCAGAGTTGAAAGGCTTCTTGCAGAATCAAGGCTGCACGTGGACATTTAATGCTCCACATTCCTCCCATATGGGAGGAGTGTGGGAAAGAATGATCGGGATTGCCAGACGTATTCTGGAGGCTCTCTTGATGAAAACTCCCACAAGACTCACGCATGAGGTCTTAACAACTTTAATGGCAGAAGTCATGGCCATTATGAATTCCCGACCCTTAACCCCAATTTCAACAGATGCAAGCATGCCCCAAGTGCTCTCACCAGCAATGCTCTTAACTCAGAAGGCGAGTGTTGCTCCAGCCTCCAGCTCCAATTTCGAGTTGGATCACCTGCACAAAAATCAATGGCGTCAAGTCCAGATGTTGGCGGATTCATTCTGGAAGCGATGGAGGCAGGAGTACTTGTCTACCTTGCAACCCAGAAGGAAATGGACAGAGGAGAGAGATAGTATTCAGGAAGGAGAAGTAGTTCTGTTGAAAGATGGGGAGGCTAAGTGCAGTGAGTGGCCAATTGGTCTCATAACAAAGACTGTAGCCTCATCTGATGGGAAAATTTGTAAGGTTATGGTGAAGACGGCTAAGCAAGGGGTTTGTCAGAGAGTACTTAAGACCTATATGTGATGTTGTCTTACTTTTGTCAAGTAATTGGAATGCATAGTGCTTAGGGTGACCATACGTGCCATTTTCCCCAGACGCGCCAGGATTTCTATATTGCTTTGATTCAAAATTTATTTCAAACACTCGACTGACATTATGAAGTGAGTTTGGAGTAAAAATATGTTATTAAATGTGGTATTTTCACATGCTTTCAGATGGAGCAGCATTTACTTCACAGAGCAGTAGTTCACTGAGAAGCTATGCAAACAACTGTCATTATCGTGAACGATTTCTTCGATTTCAGAATCGCGCAATAAAATCGTCCGATTTTTTTGCGTAACTTGTCAGTGAACTACGGCTATGTGTAGTAAATTCTGCTCCATCTGAAAGCACGTGATGATGATTTCGTGCTGATTACAGAACCGGCTTTTTTAACAAAATGCGCACGACAATTTCATTCGATTAATCGTGCAGCCCTACTAGTGAGGACATGTTACTGGTCCTCTAGTTAAAAATGCTTATAAATTAGCCAAAATATGTTTTTATTTAAATCTAGTGTTTTGCACATGTTTCTGTCAGGGGTAGGTTTAGGGGTAGGGGTTATCATTAACCTGATATAAAATCAATGGAAGTCTATGCAATGTCTTAACTAAGATAGCAAAAGCATGTGTGCATGTGCGTGTGTGTGTGTGTGTGTGTGAAAATATTCCGATGTAACCCCCTTTGTAATCGTTAACATTTTGTAACTGTAATTTAATTACACATTTTTTTCACTAACTGTAACAGATTACAGTTACATTTATTTTGTAATTAAATTATGTAACTCCGTTGCATATAACTAGTTACTCCCCATCACTGGATATAGATATCGGCATGGCTGTGATTCAGCTGTAGGCACGTGGCCGCATGCCAGAGTGTCTTTAAAAACCCTCTTTTGTGCGAACTACTTCCATGGATTAAAATTCTCAGTTTGACAGTTTAACAGCTGAGCCCAAGCCTCTGTAACTAATTTGAAAACATCACTTTAGAACTAGTAACGAAGGAATGTTGAGTTGCTTCATTGATAGCTTATTGTATTACTGTATTAAAAGCTCACTGTATAATATGGAGTATTATTAGCGATGGACTGAGCGAGTGTAATTACCTGCATCTGATACAGCATTCATTCTTCAGCTCAATCTCAATAAAAACCAGAGACCAAATCACAATAAAAACCAGTCTTATTGAGAGATGCGAGGGTCTGTACTTACCACTGGAAAAAGTGTAACCGCTAACTTGGATCACATGAGGCAGGGTTAGGGTTAGGGTTAGGCTCTGGTCTCCTTTCCCTGCGTACCGCCAAAGTCGCAGCGTTAGCATTAGCCATTACACTTTTTTGGGTAGGGGTTGCAGGCTTGTCTTCCAGTGGTTAATTCATTAATGTTTTAATTCATTAATGTTTGATAAAACATTAGTTTGAATGACTGCTGAGGAAAGCAATATCTTTGTCATACAATCTGTTCATCTGTTAAGGGTGATTTCAGATGACAGCGCTGGTCAGTGCATTTGTTGGCTGCGTCTCACAAGTGCTGCATCCCAATGTGTCTACTTATACTACGCTCTTAAAGTATGTTCTCTTTTGGTGAGGAAAAAGTACACACTTTTGAGTGTGTAGTAGAAGAGCTTTGGGACATATTATTACGTCATACAACTGCGTCTTTAACGGACCGCTCTGTCGCATAGCCTATCAATCATCTTGTGGGCAACATTAGCCATTAGAGTGTGCACGGATCCACACTTCTACCTGATCTACCTGAAATAGTAGACCAATCTGGGGACTTTTGGCATACTCTTTTCAACATGCTATGATTTTGGGACACACTTATTCTAATCTATTTAGGATGGAGATAGGTAAAAGCCTTATTCAACAGCTCCAAGCACGTAGATGCGTCCGCCATCTTGCAACGGTCAACTTGACGTCATTCACCATAATAATCAATGAATATTCGAAGATGCCACAATCCTGCACAGCCGGTCGTTGTAAAAACCACCGGTAAGCAACGGGATAACCTTTCACAGGTGAGAATGCGAGAGAGGGGCAGAACCATGATAGATATGTAAGGATTGTGGCATCTTTAAATATTCATTGATTATTATGGTGAATGTCGTCAGGTTGACCCTTCCAATATGGCGGACGGCTTACAAATAGCTGCCCATAGAATCAGTCGCTAATGAGACAACTACGTATTCATATCTATGATAGCCTTACCCTGGAGTTGGGTCAACCTCTGTCTATGGGGAAATAATAATAATAAAAAAAAACAGTTTTCAAAAGCCCCCCCCCCCCCTGTTTTCTTCACAAATCGCACCTTGTGTGTATATATATATATATATATATATATTATTCAGATATTCAGTGTCTTTAAAAACCCTCTTTTGTGCGGAACTACTTCATTCCACCACGGATTCAAATCTCAGTTTGACAGTTGTTTAATAGCTGAGCCCAAACCTCTGTTGTTCTGAAATATACGGTGTGTGAGATATTTGGTGTCACTGGGCGGAGTAGGCTAAACATGAATATTCATGAATTTCCTGTTTCGTGTTAAATCGACTCTGAACATATTAGTGCATTTTCACCATAATGGATTCTAACTTATTCTTGGATGTTCGTCGAAATAAAGAATGCAAAAAAAGTGCTGCACGGGGTATAGGGTTCTTGTCTCGGTGCTCTTTGGG